GCTCCTTCACTATTCAAAACGCAACACGAGCCCCAATTGGAGCTTTGTGAACAAACCACGATTAAACAAATGATGATTGAGCACCTGACTTTCCCCACGGAGGTTGTAAGTCATAAAAGGGGGCAAAACTCACTTAACAACAGAAATTTTGGACTTGGTTGTGGTTGTAAGTCAAGGACTACTACAGCCTCTTCTTAAAATCCCCCCAAAATGGAGAATGATGCTCATTGATTGATGGATTATGGACCATCAAGTCAATGTCACCTCTTTTGCGAGCCCATACATTTCTTCCATGAAATAAAATTTATTCATCAAGCATATATGACTGTAGAATAACCGTTTATAGACAACTCTGGCCACTGGTTTACCTATAATTTGTTTAGACAAGGGTTTGTCTGCTCCCCTACTTCTAAAGATTCAGGGCAGTGTGGAATATAATGTCAATCAAACCATAAAAAATATTAAATATTAAAAGATACAGAATTTGTTCAGAAACATAGAGAAGAACTAACATTATTTTTTAAAGAAAATAATGGACAACATACATCGACACAGAACCTATGGGACACTACGAAGGCATTTACCTGTGGGATCATAATATCGTATACAGCAAAAAGGAATATGGAAAGGTGGGCTCAACAAAATAATCTGCAGGAAATAATTAAAAAATTAGAGACTCAATTACAAGTTACCCCACAAAATACCAAATAAAAAAACAACATTAATTCTAATAGACAGTTTAGGTGGGCAGGCTGGCCTGATCCACCCTCCCTATCCAATTTAATTTGTTCTATCCCAATTCAAGCCATCAGCAATTCAGATTTTAATTGAATTAAATCAGAAATTTAATTTGGGTCGGACAGCTGCTCCTACCGTCCTGCCCTCAAGGGGGCATCCTTACCTTATGTTGCAGCACAAAGAAATGCGTCCTTGCCGCCTTCTGCTGTGCCCTTCAAAGCACAGCCTTTTCCTCCGGCTGCCTCAAGCACAGAGCCCTTCTCAGGATCCAGAAAGTCACCTTGAGCCACACTTCCACCTCCAGCTGACTTCTCTCACTCCAAAAACCCCAATTCTCACCCTTTCAGGGCCTCCTTAAATTGTACCCCAAAGCCCTCCGATCGCCTGCCCCTAACATCTCGCCTGTTTTTTCCTCCTAGGCTTTCTTTTAAAAACAACCCATTTCTGCTATTTGTCAGATATCGTGTAGGGTCTCCTGCTTGGGCGGGTGGGGGTGGGGATGGACTAGATGACCTACAAGATCCCTTCCAACTCTGTTAATCTATATCTATCTAATCCGTCTGTCTGTCTATCTGTATCATCTAGCTATCTAGCTATATATCTCCATCCATCCGTATCATGTATCTATTTATATCTATATCTATCTATCTATATCTAATCTATATCTATATCTAATCTATCTATCTATCTATCTATCTATCTATCTATCTATCTATCTATCTATCTATCTATCTCCATCCATCCATCCATCCATCCATCCATCCATCCATCCATCCATCTATCCCACATTCACACAACCCAGCCAAGAAACCTAATGAAGAAAGTCTGCAGTTCCCACAAGGCATGTAAAGCCACCAAAGGGTTCAAGCGACACACAATCTCACACACAGACCCACAAAATCCCATCAAGGTTAACACTAATTCAATTCAAAATGTGCTCTGAGAACGGTTTAGTCCTCGATTTACAACCGCAACATTTTTTTTAAATTACCAAGTGAAACATTTGTTAAAGGAATTTTGCCCCCTTTTGGGCCACAGTTGTTGAGTGAATCGGTGCCATGGTTAATTTAGTAACCCAGTTAAGTGAATCTGGCCTCCCTGTGCATTCTGCTTGTCGGAAGGTCGCAAAAGGGGAATCGCGTGATTACCTGGGATCTTGCAACCGTCATAAATATGAGTCCATGGCCAAACATCCTAAACCCGGGCATCCTCAAACCGTCATCTATTTAAGTTTGTGGCCAAGCATCCAAAATCGGCTCGCGTGAGCCCAGGGATGCTGTAACAGCCGTTAAGTGTGAACCACAGGCTGCAATGGCCGTTAAGCGTGAACCACGGGCTGCAATGGCCGTTAAGTGCGAACGACGGGCTGCAAGGGACGTTAAGTGTGAACGACGGGCTGCAATGGCTGTTAAGTGTGAACGACGGGCTGCAATGGCTGTTAAGTGTGAACGACGGGCTGCAACAGACGTTAAGTGCGAATAAAGGTCCTAAAGTCACTTTTCTCTGTCCCCTCGTTACTTTGAATGGTCAGTATAACCGAACTGTTGTAAGGCTAGAACTCCCTGCACATCAGATTTGATTCTAAGGGGGCTTAGGAGGGTGGGAAAAGGTCGTGTGAAGGTAACAGATTTCTGCCCGCATCTTGGGAAGGTCGGCTTGCAAAAGTGAAAGCGATGCCCCTTCACTTTCGGCCAAAACAAAATCCCTTCCGCCCAAACTCCCTTTTGCTCCGGAAGGCTCTCCAATAAATCCCCCCTCCCTTTCCTTGCCCGGGATCCACTCGGATTGCAGGATCTCCCCTTCTGCTCGCTCCCCAGGCGCCTCGTTTTTTTTCTGCCACCGGGCAGCCCCTCCGCACCCGCGGCCGCGGAAAAAGCGGCGCCCCTTCGCGGAACACTCACCCAGGTAGCGCACCCAGGTGTCCCGGTAGAGATCCGGCGGGGGATCCGCGGCGCCCGGCCCAGCCATGCCTCCCTCGCCCGCTCGCCCGCCACCAGCGGCGGCTGCAAAGACGCGCCCCGCCGCCTCTCCACGGGGCGCCCCGGGCGCACGTTGCACCTAGGAACCGGCCCCAAAGCCCGGTCCAAGCCACTTCCCACTGGCCGCGGAGAGGGCGGGGAGAGGCGGAGGAGGGGCGGCCGCTGGGCCGGGTTCCGCTTCGCTCTCGCCGCTGCTGGAGGACGGCTTCCTGCTCGGCCCCCTCGGGCAGCTGGGCTCCAGCTGGCCGGCGCCGGAATGGACCAATTCGACACGGCACAACTGGCTGCGGGACAATTCAACGGTTCAATTGTTTTTAAAAATATTATTAATATTTTTTGGGCATTCCTATTTCCTTTGGTCTCTCCTTTGGCATCCTTTCTTGCATGATTCTGTTCCACTAGTTTTGTTCCCTTGGTAAGCTGGCAAAGTTCGTTTTTCTCGCTATGTACATGAACTAGACTGAGTTGGCCATGGCTAGTTGGCCAAGTGACTTGGGCATGGTGAGTTGGCTATGTGAATTGGCCATGGTGAGTTGGCTATTTGAGTTGGCCATGGCTAGTTGGCTATGTGAGTTGGCCAAGTGAGTTGGCCATGCCGAGTTGGCCAAGTGAGTTGGCCATGGCGAGTTGGACATGTGAGTTGGCCATGGCTAGTTGGCTATGTGAGTTGGCCATGGCGAGTTGGCCATGGCAAGCTGGCCATGTGAGTTGGCCATGGCTAGTTGGCTATGTGAGTTGGCCATGGTGAGTTGGCCACGGCGAGCTGGTCATGGCTAGTTGGCCAAGTGAGTTGGCCATGCCGAGTTAGCCAAGTGAGTTGGCCATGGCGAGTTGGACATGTGAGTTGGCCATGGCGAGTTGGCCATGTGAGTTGGCCATGGCGAGTTGGCCATGTGAGTTGGCCATGGCTAGTTGGCTATGTGAGTTGGCCATGGCGAGCTGGCCATGTGAATTGGCCATGGCGAGCTGGCCATGTGAGTTGGCCATGCCGAGTTGGCCATTTGAGTTGGCCATGGCGAGTTGGCCATGTGAGTTGACCTTGGCAAGTAGTCATAGACCAGGCCAGTGCACCTTCCCACCAGTCTCTCAAAGGAAAGGAAAGGAAAGGAAGGGAAAGTGAAAGGGAAAGGAAAGGAAAGGACCTTGGAGGTCTTCTAGTCCAACCTCCTGCTATACCATTCTGGACAAGTGGCTGTCCAGTCACTTCTTAAAATCCTTTGAGGTAAGCCATTCCACAGATTAATTAAATTGGTAGTTTTTAATTAATTGGAGAATCAATTACCATAATTCCCTGTGCCAAATGTTCTAATGAATTGCCAAACTAGCCATGAAGTCTCCTAGGGAGATGAATTAGAAATACTTATTTGCCAGTATCAATTTGAAAAAGGAAAAAAAGGTAAGGGTTTTACTGTCTGGATTTAATATCATTAAAACTGAAAAATGTTCCTTTTTTTCCCCTCTTACATTTTGTAAATTCCTAATGTTTTACAGTTTGTAAATCCCTCTGTTTCATTTTTCTTCTTTCCTGGTCGATTTAAAATCTTTTAAAATTTAAAAAAATATTATTTGAAGGCTGCAGAGGAAACCTCAAAGTGCACGTTGGCTTCCTATTTCTTTCTTTCTTTTTGGGGGGGATGAACCATTCAGGAATATCCAGTTGATAAATTCTCTGGACAGGAACAGGTGAGAGAGACATATATTCTATTTTTTTTCTGCCGTCTCCACAACTTGTGCGGTGGAAAACATCCTGTCGTGCAAAGGATGAACTGATCGAAAACAAAAATAGGTTTGTAAATCTGGAGTGGGGTTCTGTAGGAAGAGCTCTGTGGAAGCTGATGGCTGGCAAAATCCCAGAGGTTGCAAAAGGAATTGAAGCAGGCTGGGCGATCATTTAAGTTTAAGGCAAACTTAACGATTTTGATCCCGTGCCTAAAAATAGGTCTTTCAAGGGCTTTCGAAGTGGAGCCTCCCCACACAGGAACAGTGTACCTCAGTGTCATGCCCCTGTCGGAGTCTGACTCTGAGGAGGAAGGCGAACAGTTGACAGGGAGCCAGAGTGTGGCTGTGGAGGAAACTGGGGAAGGGCAAAGTCCGGCTGGGCAGAGCAGAGAAGAGGTAGAACAAGGGAGAGGGAGTTTAGAGGAAGACTCAGGCCCACTCCCTCTTCATCCTAAGGCATGCAGGGAGGAATGGAGAAGGGAGCAACATGGGTTGCGTGGCTTTCGGGGGAGGAAAGGGCCCTGATTCCCTTCATTAGCCACACTTGAGAACGGAGTTTATTAAAAAAAAAAAGGCAAGCTGCGTGCGGCAGGCTGCTGGGGGCAAAGTGACTTTATCTTGTGTTGTCATAGCTTATCTGTGTTCCTGGCATCTTCCCAACTGTGTGAGTTTTGCTGTGCTTTAAAGCCTGAAATTGCTGGTCATTACACTCACCCAATGGCAGAGAAGGCCACTGTCTTTGGATGGCACAGATCCCTGATGCTAAGCTCCCTTGGACTTCGCTATGGCCTGGGGAGGATGGGGAGGGTTTTCCCCTCCTCCTTTATAAAACTCTGGGGTTCAAGGGACTATTTCTCCGTCCGCTGGCAACACCGTTGGAAGTCCTGAAGCCCCCTGACCACCCAAGCAAGAATTCCGCCCCCAAAGAAGACCTTTGAGGATGGTGCCCACCCCTGCCACTCCCCCCCTCCCCCCCGGGGCAGAGGCCCGCCGGAGATGCCATCTTCATCATGCGTGGTTGTTCTCCACCTTCTGAGTCTGTTCATCCAACTTCTGGAACTTCCTTTCCCATTTCTTATCCGGGAGTAAAACCTCCACCGTGTAGCTGATTTTCTTGGCGTGGAGGTAGCTGTAGGTATTGTCGAAGCGGAGGACATCTGGGGGAATAAGAAAGAGACCGTCAGGGAAGGACCCCACCTGGAATATGGCATCCAGTTTTGATAATAAAAAAAAGATGTTGAGACACTGGAAAGAGCGCCAAGAAGAGCTACTCAGAGGATTAACGCCTGGAGAACAAAACATAGGAAGAATGGCTGAAGGAATTGGGTATGTCTAGTCTTGTGAAGAGAAGGACCAGGGGAGACAGGATAGCGGTCTTCCAATATTTGAGGAGCTGCCCCAAAGAAGAGGGGGTCAACCTACCCTCCAAAGCACCTCAAAGGCAGGACAAGAAGCAATGAATGGACACTAATGCAGGAGAGAAGCAACCTGGAATTGAGGAGAAACGTCCGAATGATGAGGACAATCAACCAGTGGAACAACTTGCCACCAGAAGCTGTAGGTGCTCCATCACTGGAGGTTTTTAAGAAGAGAATGGACAGCCACTTGTCTAGAATGCTATAAGATCTCCTCCTTGAGCAGGAGGTTGGACTAGAAGACCTCCAAGGTCCCTTGCAACTCAAGGACAATCAACCAGTTGAACAGCTTGCCTCCAGAAGGAATGCAGGAATGGGATTCTACCAGTTCGGACTGGTTCGAGCGAACTGGATGTTAAATTTGCATCTGGTTCACCGAACCAGTATTTGAACCTACCGGCTGGACCAACCTCCCCTCCCAGGAATCTCCACATGGCCCATTTTCGATGCAGGTAAATGTAGGGACTGCGCAGAAGCTCTGGGAGGGGGAAAGTCCAGAAACGGGCCTGTTCCCAGCTTCTGGAGGGCCTCCAGAGCCCAGGGGAGGCCGTTTTCACCCTGCTGGAGGCCTGAAGGAAGCCTCCAGACCAGGGGTGGGATTCTACCAGTTCGCACCTATTTGCTAGAACCGGTTGTTAACCTTCTAAGCAGTTCGGAGAACTGGTTGTTAGAAGAAATTACTGGCCTAATCCTGTAAGGAAGTCAGGAAGGAAACATTCTGGTGTTGCTTACAGAATCTGCATCTCCGTTAACCCTTATTACATTCTTGGCAGGACTAGACTTCCTGTCTCAGGAACGTCTCTGGAGTTTTTTTCCCTCCTTTGCTGGTACTTTGCTTGTGTGGAGGGACCATTCAAAGTTACAATGGCACTGAAAAAAGTGACTTATGACCGTTTTTCACACTTACGCCTGCTGCAGCATCCCCACAGTCATAAGAGGCCAGGCGAGGAGATGCGTGCCTCAATGTGAGTGATGTTGAGTTGGCCACGTCCAGCCAATAGCATGACCACCAAGCCATGTCCACCCAGTCACATGACCACCAAGCCACACCCACCACCTAAGCCACGCCCACAGAACCGGTTGTTAAAAATTTCGAATCCCACCCCTGGTGCTAAGTCTCTCTTTTTTGTTCAATGCTGTCGTTCACTTTGCACGGTCACTAAACGAACTGTTGTAAGTAGAGGACCAGCTGTATGAAAAGTGCAAGGGGAGATAAAGCTACAAGTCTGGGCAGAGACGACTCACAGATTCCAGCATCCAAGCAGGTGAGGGTGCCGTCTTCAGGGACCAGGTGTGCGTTGTAGCGCTGGTTGGAGTGCACCTCAGTCATCTCCCCGGCGTGCTGGTGGGACCCCATCTTGGTCTTCAGGTAGACACCAAAACCTATATCGGACCCTTCGGACATGAACTGCCACCTTGAATTCGGAGCAGAAGACAATGAGAAGAAGAAATTGGACAGCCATTTGTCTGAAATGTTATTGGGTCTCCTGCCTGAGCAGGGGGTTGGACTAGAAGACCTCCCAGGTCCCTTCCAACTGTGTTTGTTCTGTTCTGTCCTATCCCATTCCCATTCCCTATTCTAGAATAGAATAGAATAGAATAGAATAGAATAGAATAGAATAGAATAGAATAGAATAGAATAGAGAATATAATAGAATAGAGAATAGAATAGAATAGAATAGAGAATAGAATAGAATAGAATAGAATAGAATAGAACAAAGAAGAGAATAGAATAGAATAGAGAATAGAATAGAATAGAGAATAGAATAGAATAAAGAATAGAATAGAATAAAGAATAGAATAGAGAATAGAATAGAATAGAGAATAGAATAGAGAATAGAATAGAGAATAGATTAGATTAGATAATAGAATTGAACAGAGAAGAGAAGAGAATAAAGAATAGATTAGGTTAGATTAGATAACAGAATAAAGAATAGAATAGAATAGAGAATAGAATAGAATAGAGAATAGATTAGATTAGATAATAGAATAAAGAATAGAATAGAATAGAGAATAGATTAGATTAGATTAGATTAGATTAGATTAGATAATAGAATAAAGAATAGAATAGAATAGAGAATAGATTAGATTAGATAATAGAATAAAGAATAGAATAGAATAGAGAATAGATTAGATTAGATAATAGAACCAAGAATAGAATAGAGAATAGAATAAAGAAAAATTAGATTAGATAATAGAATTGAACAGAGAAGAGAATAAAGAATAGAATAGATTAGATTAGATTAGATAATAGAATAAAGAATAGAATAGAATAGAGAATAGATTAGATTAGATTAGATATTAGAATAAAGAATAGAATAGAATAGATTAGATTAGATAATAGAATAAATAGAATAGAATAGAGAATAGATTAGATTAGATAATAGAATAAAGAATAGAATAGAATAGAATAGAATAGAATAGAATAGAATAGAATAGAATAGAATAGAGAATAGATTAGATTAGATAATAAACAATAGAATAGAATAGAGAATAGATTAGATTAGATAATAGAATAGAGAATAGAATAGAATAGAGAATAGATTAGATTAGATAATAAAGAATAGAATAGAATAGATTAGATTAGATAATAGAATAAAGAATAGAATAGAATAGAGAATAGAATAAAGAAAAATTAGATTAGATAATAGAATTGAACAGAGAAGAGAATAAAGAATAGATTAGATTAGATTAGATTAGATTAGATAATAGAATAAAAATAGAATAGAATAGAATAGAATAGAATAGATTAGATAATAGAATAAATAGAATAGAATAGAGAATAGATTAGATTAGGTTAGATAATAGAATAAAGAATTCAATAGAATAGACCAGACCTGGAAGGGACCTTGGAGGTCTTCTAGTCCAGCCCCCTGCAGTAGACCCTATACCAGTTCATACGTCAAGGACGATTTGAACAGAAGGGTTTTGAAATTTCAACCTTGAATAAAGAATAGAATAGAATAGAATTGCTCTATTATTTATTGTCCTGCCTGTTTACCTATTTCATCATCCATACAGTAGCTAGAGGACAGGTGAATAATCTGCCAAAAGAATTAGCCGTTTAAAACTTGTTTGGGCCCATTTTGCAAGGAGCGGGAAACTAATACCGTTGTAATATCTTCATTGGTATTCCTTTGTGGGAATAATTGGTTATCACCACCCCCTAATATGTGATAATGTGTTCGTGGTTTTTTAAATGCACATTTTTGAATGTTTTGCATTTTGTTTGTCTTCCCGCCCCCAAAATTGGGAGTATTGTGTTTTATTTTTTAAAAAATAAAATAAAGATAGACTAGAAGGGGAAAAAATGCCCCTAAACCTCCTTCCTCTTTCCCCCATGCTGCCGAGTTGCCCCTTTGATTTACCTCAAGACGCAGCCCGGAAAAAGGATCTCGTATTCCAGCTGCTGGGAAGAACCCCGATTCACCATTAACGAATGCTCATATTGTTGCTTCAGCTGATTTCGCACGTAGTATTTTGGGGGGACGTCTCCGCCGGGGCATATCTAGAACACAGAACAAACAGAGATCAGGAGCCACCAGAAGAAAAACCTACCTCTGTGTTTTGCAACCTTGGCACCTTTAAGATGTGCAGACCTCAATGCCCAGAATTCCCCAACCAGATCTCCTGGGAGTTGAAGTCCACCCATCGTATAAGTTGTCAGGCTTGAAAAAGACTCTAGACAGAGTGTGAAGAAGAGCAACCAAGAGGATTAGGGGACTGGAGGCTAAAACATAGGAAGAACAATTGCAGACTTGGGTATGTCTACTTTGATGAAAAGAAGGACTAGGGGAGACATGATAGCAGTCTTCCAGTATCTCAGGGGCTGCCCCAAAGAAGAGGGAGTCAAGCTACTCTCCAAAGCACCAGAAGGCAGGACAAGAAGCAACGGGTGGAAACTAATCAAGGAGAGAAGCAACCTAGAACTCAGGAGAAATTTCCTGACAGTCAGAACAATTAACCAATGGAACAGCTTGCCACCAGAAGTTGTGAATGCTCCAACACTGGAAGTTTTTAAAAAGATGTTGGATATCCATTTGTCTGAAGTGGTTTAGGGTTTCCTGCCTGGGCAGGGGGTTGGACTAGAAGACCTCCAAGGTCCTTTCCAACTCTATTTTCTATTCTATTCTATTCTATTCTAAAAACATTGGCCTATCCCATCGTTCTCTTGATGTTCCTCATATGTCATCTGAGAAACAAGAAGAATGTCCAGAATTAATTCTTCTTCTTCTTCTTCTTCTTCTTCTTCTTCTTCTTCTTCTTCTT